TTATGTGTCCTGTATTAAATCTTTTCCCTTGTAAAGCCTGACTACATCACACGGTAAGCATCAATGAAGATTTGATGAGCAAACCAAGGGAAACCAGGAACAACAATGCACCCATTTCTCCTGCCACAGGCTCAGGGAGAATTCACTGCAACCTCAGCTTCCCCGCTTCCCCCCATGACTCCCATGCCAGGTGAAGATGAGGAGCAGCAGCCGTCCCCGAGCTCTGCTCTGAACTACTTCGTACGTGCTGACCACGTCCAACCCCGGGCACTGTGCCCAGTCAGTAAGAGCCTGGTGGTGTGAACCTGGACAATCTGAGTCCAAACATGGACCCATTGCTTACTTGCTCTGTGCCCTTGGAGTAGTTATTGTGAAAGCTAGATAAACTCTGACGTAAAGCATATCATTCAGAATCACACCGAGCAGACAAGGCACCCTAGGGAAGACTTATGAAAGACTTTCAGATGGGCTCGAGAGAGATGGCTGGATGGGGTTCCACGCTGGAGCTACACTTATCTCATTCTGCAGGGCGTACACACTTGCTTTCCTTCAGCTGCTTCCCAACTCTGTAGATATAGAAGGCAAACCGTAGAAAACACAACTGTGCACTTTCCTGTTGACCATACTGATGCACAGCAGGTCTCATGGAAGACAACGGATCACCACCTTGTGATACGGACCAAGTTCACATCTCTTTGTAAATTCGTCTTAGCATTCCTTAGCTATGACTGTGGGCCTGTTTGACTTCTCCTTTGAGCCAGCTGTAATAGTATTCTCCATTGGCTAACATAGATAACACTCCACTTGGATGATTTGATGAGTCTTGATCTTACTCTCTTTTAAAGCTTATTCTGTAATGGTAGCATCAGCATCATCATTTTTCTTTTATTTGTTCTCTCCTTGATTCAAACAATATTGCTCGGTAACGAGTGTGCACCATGCACTGTGAAGCCCCCTGGTTCTTACACTACTTCAGTGGGCAGAAGTTAGAGTTTACTAGTAAAAAGCCACTATTTCTCTCATGGTGTTTTAGCCATAAATATTTTCCTACTGTCTCAGACATACATTGCTCAGATATAAGCATGTCCTCTGAGAGTTCTCGTAACAAATGGCTCTCTTTTTTTCATTCCAAAGGGTACAAAGAATCCAGAATTACACAAGGTGTTTCACCACCGATTCACTTTTCCTTCCCTAGCCATCTTTTTTAACTCAGTGTCCTTTCATTCAGCCCACACTGACCAAGATTCTTCTCTACTACAGACAAATCCAAAAGCACTACCGCATAAAAGACTGTATTGAGAACGTCACATTGCTTTCAGATGAAAGAGTTTCAGCAAGGGTTCACTGGTCTGGTGTTTGGTCTCAAGATTTCAAGCATGTAAATGAACAGAAAATGAACGCATGCCACAAAAAAACCAGTGCCAGGTACAACTGCGACTCCCTTGTCAACTCAGATTTCACAGGTGAGTCAAACGAGCCCGTACTTGCCTTGGACACCCAAGTTCATTGACATGAGAAAACTGGGGGGCTAGTGTGGGGCAACTGCTTAAGGATGAGTCTCCCACTCCTCGCAATACAACCCTTCTCATAGGGGTCTTTATGGTTTGCCATCATCTGGAAGAAATCAGCTGACCCTTCAGCTCCAAGACTGAAAGCCTTGTACATAGGGGAGACCAGAATCCCCGGATGCAGGGGAGCAGCCTGAGCAAGTTCAGGTGGGATGCAGCGTTCAGACATCACCCTAAACATATCCCGGCCTTCAGGGACTCTAAACGCTCATCCTGGTGGGGTTATTTTAAATCAAAGGCCAGTGGCATGCCCACAGCTGCACAAGTAAGGAACGCCTAAGAAAATAAATACTAGTTAGAGGTGATTTAATGCAGTTAACTGCAGTGGGTGGAGGCTGGAGGCAGTAGCTTTTAACAAGTTTTATTTGCAAGACTAACTCAGTGTGCTTGTGGCTGAGGCTGTATTGCTAACAGATGGACACCTGGCAGGCTGTCCTAATTCAGGCAGACACTCGCAGAAGGAGTGACCAGGCTAAGCGATTCCAACATTAACCTCACTCAAACCGCTCTCCCCCAGCTCAATCAACAGAAGGTTTTAGGACTGTTCTGGTCAAAACAAGAGCAGAAAAATTCAGCTCTTCCCCCCTTTTCATCTCTGTTCACCCTCTGAGAGTTCATTAAAGAAAAAAATATGAGAATTCCTCTGCAGAGAATCACTGTTGGAGGGAAAGAGAGGTTTTGAAAATATCCCCATTTGTGCTACCCTGTGTAGGCACCAAGTCACGGACCACATCCAGTTCCCGGGAAAGAAGACAAAGCCAGCGGGACACCGCTGGTGGCAACGTGGTATTTAGGAAAGCCTGTGTCAGAAGAGAATTCACCATTCTGTCCTTGGCTGGGGGAAATCAGTCTTAGAGAACTACTGTGCAGTTCACAAACAAAAAGCAGAACAAAACAAACAAAAAATCCCTGTGGGAAAAACCCTCCATCTCTCACACTGAAGCACTCAGTGTGCTTTTAAGGAAGCAAAATTTCTTTAACTTTGCTGTATTTTGAAACAGAACATTATGACACATGGAGACATACACCCAAACAGAATCAGACAACCAGCAGTGGAAACAGAGGAGCGGAACACCCAGGATCGAGTTCTGGGAACTCCTGGTACACCCGTATGCAAATCATTTAGCAGTCATGCAGGCTGCACTGCCAGAGAAAATGAAACCCATTCCTGTAGTAGCTTTACCTCCGCACCAAGGTAACTGGCTATGCGCCTCACACCTCTGGACCGTCGACATGTGAGGTCAGAGGGCCATTTATATTCTTGAATTTTGAAAGGGAAACGCTTTGGGAACAGTGAGTATATATTCTCTCTGACTCTCCCTGAGAAAATAATAAGTCTCTCTGAGTAGATCATAATCGCTTTTTTCTTTCTTTGCTCTTAAATAGTTTTGGGTAATTTGCAGAGTGACGATACAAATCACTGGAACAAATGAATTTTCAAATGTTCCTAAGAACTCCACCTATATTTTCAAAGACCAACTAGCCATGCCTGAAGAATTTGGTGAATTTAACTATTTCTCAAGGTGAAACTTGCGAAGGATTTCTCCTTTAGTGCAGAAAGATGCTGGCTGACAGGTGGCTCAGGGAACCTGCAAATAATGAGATTTCCTGGAAAATCTATCAGGGAGTGTTGCTTTTTAAATCAATCACAAAGAATTATGCCAGCAAAAGAGGGAGAGGAATAAATTATTCTAATTCCATATATGGTTTAAAGTATTTTAAAATATTTGCCAACAAAAATAAAGACTGAGTGGTAGCAGGTGAAGATTTTTGCAAGTATCATCTGTGTGTGGTAATTTGGCTACTTCCCTCTGCTACCTTTGGATGGGACTCCTGATCAGCAAAGCACACGACCTAGGCATGGGCCAGTATGGAGGTCTACATGCCAGCACTGGCTCTGCCTCCAGGAGGTGACCACTGGGGCCTACACTGATTTACAGTTTAAAAAGTCCGCTTAATACATGTTATCTCTGAGAAGCTCTGCAGAGCAGTAGGGAGGGAAGTGAGGATGTGCGTGCTCACAGGTCCCTTCCTGTGAGGGTCGCTTGTTGCTGGCTGCCGGATTCCCAGGCTGAGTCACTTCTTGCAAGGTCCACCCCCTCTCACTTCCCTTTGTCTCTGGATTGATAATAGCTCAACATTTTCTGGAAACGCCCAATTCACTGTCCTGAATGGCTTCCCTCCACCTTGTACACACTTTGTAAGTCTATTTTTATGAAATTGTCCTCGTATTACCCCAGCGTGAGGGGGGATCCCTGTTTCCGGCAGAGACCCTGATTGAAGCCTAGTACTACCTAACACTGATTCTTAAACTGGACTCCATGATGCCCCTCCGCCAAGTGACTGACCAGTAGAAGTCTATTTCAAGAGAAGTGATTGGTTTTGTAATCACAAAGGAATTTAGACAGTGTGTTTCTCTGTGGAAGACAGCATCAGCTTCATCAAGCTGACAAAGAAGCCCATGACATTAAAAACAACAACAGAAAAAGCAGGATGAAGTGAGCAGCCCTCTATTTTATTCTCTCCTCTCAGTTGCTCCAAAATGAAAGAATTCACATGGTAGAATTTGTGGGTCTCTATAGGCAGGAAGATGAAGTTTCTTTTCCCCCTCATGATTTTTTTTCGCGGTATTCTGCCAGGTATAATCTCATCACCTGACTCCAAGATGAAGTTTTCCAACAGGCTGAAAGATAAAGACACCAAGATTATTTCCCTGGGTATCAAGAGATGTGAATAGATCCTTATTACCTTGGAAGAAGATGAAACCTACAGTACAGCATAGGATAAGGAATAATTTGACATTTGCAGAACAGCTATAGGAGGATGAGAAAACCTCTGACTGCCAGAAAATTAAGCATACCATGGAGAACAACACAAACCCCATGAGTCTACATTTATAGACTTAATTTGCACAAAGCAACTGTGTTCAAAATTTATTACAATTTGTTGACAAAAAAATTGCCCTTGCTTTTAGTCTTTGCATTACGCACTGCTAAAGAATGTGTGAAAAGTTGAAGGATTTCAGGAGGAATAATGAATTGCCAATTATATAGACTTGTACCGAAAAATCCCTGTTAGAAGGTAGTGGGGAAAAATAATTAAACCAGTACTTTTATTGAGTTTTCATCGAAGGGAAGAACTACTGTTGTCAAAGGTGTTTGCTCAGAAACAAGTCCTCACTTGAAAATAGGTCTTTGCATTTGGAGACATCAGGAGAGGGACCTGTGAGAGAGACCGCGCTACTCAGCTTTTGGTTACGGTAACAAATGCCTGAGATAATCGACCTGTGGAGAGGAAAGGTTTATTGTGGCTCATGGTTTTGGAAGTCTCAGGGCTCAGTCCATTGGCCGGTTGCTTTTGAGCCTGTGGCAAGGCAGGCACAGGAAGGGAGCCCAGGCTGGGGCAAAGCCACTTACCTCTGGGCTGCAAAAATGAGACAGAGAGAAGGGCAGGTATCACTCCTAATGAACAGAAACGCTCTGCAGTTCATCTTGATTGCCACCTTGGTTGGCTTGAGTGAAACCTGGGAGCTTAGTAATGCACACTTCCGGGTGTGTCCCTGAGGGCATTCTCAGAGATAACTGGCCTGTGGGCCAGCAGACTGCAGGGGAGAAACCTGCCCCGAATGTGGGCAGCAGCAACCCATGGCTTGCGGCCCACATGACACAAGCGCAGGGGAAAGACAGGGCTCACAAGCTCAGTCTGCTGAAGTAGGTGTGTCTTTTGCTGCTGTGATCTCCTGTGAACATCAACCCCAATGTCTTCAGCCCTGCCCAGTGGACTCCAGCTGCACCTCTCCAAGGAGCTGCCAGGCCTTCCGCCTGGGACTGGAGAAGCATTCTTGAACTTTCTTGTCCTATGGCGTCCAGTTTTTCGGGCTGACAAGCTACTGGATCCTCTGGCTCTCCAGCAAGCAGAGGGACCCTGTCAAACTCTCCAGCCTCTGATCCTGTAAGCCAACCTAACAAATCTCTTTTCCTGTATATATAAAATCTGTTTCTTCTTTTTCTCTAAAGGACCCTAACCAATACAGTCTCCTACTAGCTTCCACCTCTCAAAGGCTCCACCGACTCCCTACAATGCCAAGCTGGGGGCCAGCCATCAACACAGGGGCCTTTAGGGGATGCACCACGGTGGAACTATTGCAGAAAGGCCATTCTTTACCTGTACATCCAGCCCTGTCACATCACCTGCATAATGGGGGCATGACATGGACCTGTAGAATGGTGCTCACTGTGCAGTCCAGTCCCCCACTTATCCTCCAAAGGCTGACTAAATCATATAACTGTTTTCACTGAGTTTTCTCTCAACCTCAGTAGTGTCCCTTCCACTGACTGTTCCCCTTGATTTTTATTTGGAGATCTCTTCTTCATGCTTATCTCTGCCTACAGCTTCAGTTCCCCAAGGGTCAGCCCATCAGCTCACTGTTTTCCTGGGGCAAAGGGATAAGCTCAATGGTAAGTGAGCACATGTTATGGAAGTTAATAAACTTCCCATTTTTGTTAAGCCATTATGAATCGGGCTTTCTGTCCCCATGCTGCAGTACAGCATTCTGTTCAAAGCTGCTGAGAAAATGACGTAAATCTGTATAGCACTTAGCACAGTGCTTCGCCTAAAGCAAGTCCTCACTGGCAGACGTTAGTATTATTACTCCTAACTTTGACCTACACATAAAGGAAACAAATCCACCACCTCCCCCGTTTAGTAAAGATGATATGAGACTACATCAAATCAAATTGTATAAGTGTAAGGCATGGAAATGTAAAAAAATAACTGACAGTTATTGTGGTACCTTGGTTCACCAACTTGGTTCTTTCCATGATTCTTGTCACAAACCAAATTTGATGAGAACTGGATCAAATTTGATGGTTTGGTTGAATGCTGGCCTCATGGGGAAATTTGGTTCAGCTCTTGTCCAGTTCAGTTTGCACACAAGCATCGCGGAGAGAACTGAGCTTATGAACAGAGGTACTGCTCTACTAAATTTGTAATCCTAGATAAATTTTGGCTTGCCACGTTCAGTTAATGGGACACCCGTTCCTTAATAATGCTCTCTATTAAATTTATTTTGGTTAGAAGCTAAACAAGCATCGTCAAGCTTCTTGTCTGAGGTGTTCCTGGGCAGTCATCATGTCTGTAGGGTAGGGATGAGGGCAATTTCAGATCCTTTAAAGCATAGATATGGGGTCACGGGACCCAGACCACTACTTCTTCCTTTGAGTGGCATGCTATTATAATACACGCCCTCCCTCATCCTCATGTGTCCTTAATTCTTCTTTGCTCTTAGGATGATGGTGCCATTCCAGAATCTTCTGAGCCTCAGACCTTCCAGTGCTGACTTCAGAGCTCCTTCTGTCACACCAGAGACTACTTGAGTGAGGTCAGAGAGCTTTAAGGGAAATGCACTGACCAAGCTTGAGGTCAGGAAGGTGGGGTCTCTGTGATATGCGCTCCCTTGAGGGTTCTAATCTACAGGTGTAAAGGAATGTGGTCCATGACAATGACAGGTTATTAGTTCAGCAGATGGCATCCCGTGCCCACTGACCACCACTCACAATGCAGTCGCACATTTGGGTAAAAACATCTGAATTGTTCACCATGAGCCCGCTGTACATTAAATTACAAAAACATTTTCCTTTCACTTGTATTTAATTGAGTCATCATCCAAGTGATCAATTCAGCAATTTAATCTACGTAATTGATTTTGAATCTATTTTTGGAAAACATCCCTAGTTAATACAGATTAGAAACCTCAGCAACCTGGCATGTCCCTGAAGTCTAATTAATTAAGAACCCTATACAGACCCATGATTTAATATCTGAAATGCAACCTTCCCATTCTACAGCACAAATCAGTAAACCTAACACAATTTATTGAAAAGAAGCTCTAACTAAATATTCCACCATTACATTTATACAGGCTTCTCCATAGACCCAGTGTATTATGAATGTAATTTCTGATGGGGGAGTGTGGATTTCAGGAAAAGAAAAGCTTATACAAATATTTTAATACTAAATTTATTGAGACATCGTGAAATTAATTCAAGTTACCTTTGGCCTCTAGAATTATAAGAGGTGCTCAAATTGGTGGCCATCATCTTCCATACATTTATTAGTATGGCAAACTGCTGCTTAGGTAAGCTTGGTCACTGAGATTGCTACGCATGCATTTTCAGTTTCTTCTCTAAGGGCTGGCAGTGTAGCAGGTTTTTTGCATTATACGACAACCTTTAGAGTCCCCATATGAGGATAACACCATCTGTTGAAAAAACGTCATACTATTTTTCTTTTCCTGAAGTGTGTATACATTTTTTGGCAGACTCTATATGTGTATGTGAGTGTGTGTGTGCGTGCGCGTGTGTGTGTGTGTGTGTGTGTGTGTAAATTATTTATTTATATGACATGTTTTCCCCAAGCAAGAACTCATTTTATGGCCAATTTTACAAAGCCATTTAAAACATTATTTCTATCACACTTAATGAAAACAATTACATCTAACTGCACAGAAGGGATTTAAAAAAACAATTGAGTGGAATACTGGTAGTAATAAAACCCTGAACCAATGTCTGAAATCAGCTAGAAATTTTTAAAAATGCTAGTGTCCTATATTTTAAAACCTGTTATAGTAGCAGAAAAAATTCAAATCTAATTTAACACAGATGCCTAACTGTGTTCTAAGTACTGCAAAGAAAGGTCAGTGTGACTACATTCATGAATTTAAGAACTCTCGCAGAAAAATTCATTTTCATGGAAAGTAGTTCTTGCCTTCTGCACATGGAAACTGTCTGTACATATTAAAGTGACTAAACGTAATCACAGCCCACAAAGTACTGCCTCTCTAGTTATTTGAACAAGAGATGCATTCTCTTCCTGCTTTGGTCTGTTAGTCCCCATGAGCAAAGCTCCTCCAGGTTGAGTTTGAGTTATAAAAGGCCAATGCTACTGAAGATTTGAAGGGTGTAACTCTTTCCACCAGGACAATGCAAATTACTTATACATTTGCAGGGGAGATCTGTGTGTTCTTACAAGTGTGCTTGCTCCTTTCAAATTGTTTTCCATTCCCTCCCTACATGGCTACATTCCCTCACTTTGCAGACTGTCCAGGAGCTTGACACAGCTCCTACAGGTAATCAGTTACCCTTCTAGATATCTCCCTATAGAGCTAAAGACTATAGCAATACGTGCATTTCAATGTTTATAGCAGGACAGTTCATGATAGCTGCAACCAGTATCCCCACCGACAGGTGACTGGATAAGAAAATGTGGTATCTATATATAATAGAATACTACTCAGCTATAAAGAAGGAAACAATTGAGCCATGTGTAGGAAAACAGATGCATCTGGAAAGTATAATGTTGATGAAATAAATCAGTCACTCAAGTTTAAATACCACACAGCATCTGTCACTTGAGTAAGGTAAAGTGCATACAAATAGTGCAAAGGATGGGTAGAAGGAAGCAAGGGGATGGGCCTCTCACAAGTGGGAAGGGGTCCTGGAGGCTGAGAGTGAGGGGAAAGAAAGGGAAGAAGCAGAAGCAAACAGACTAAAGATGTTCCATATACAAGAACTTACCAACCTCAATGAGTATAAATATTATATGCCATAAACATGAGATAAGATTAATGATATCAGTGAGAATTAAAATGAGGACAGGGATTTAAAGATGAAGGGAGGTAGATAAGAAGGGAGAAGATTTTTAAAAAACAAGCTGCATTATACACATGTACCCACTCAGCCTGTGCTGAAACATGTACTAATAAAATAAAAAAGATATTTTTCTTAACAACAGAATAGATATGTCAGGTTTGTGCCATGATGGCTATGAATTTGTAAATGGTTTTAGCCTTATGCACATAACTTGAGCTATGGATATGCAAAAATTTTAGATTTATAATGTTTTAAAATATCTACAGAACTTATAATTTTTCTTAAATGACTGAATCAGCTTCACTCTCCCCACCAAGTACGGGCAGAGAAATGTTTGTACACTCAGAAACACATCTAGGGCATTATGCAGACTTGAGGAGGAATCTTTTTCTTTCAAAGGTAAGAATTTTTTTGAGCATTCTCAACAAAGAAAAATTAGAAATTAGGCTCAGCCAAGCCTTCCGTATTGGATTCCTGTGATGTGTAAGACAACACATCAGACGACAAAGATTTTATCCTAGTGATAAAGCAGCCCCAGAGCCTCAGTCTGGGGCTCCATGATGTTCTCCTTGCACCTCAGCTCTACCAGGTCTTCAGCTAAAACAGGCTAAAATAAAATAGGCTAGTGGGAAATTATGTGGGATGAAAGACTTTCGCAAATCTGAAAAAGAGCTTTAAAAAACAAACTTGCATTGAAACATCTTTAGAGAACTTGCTTTCCATCTCAAGGAACACTTATCTTTCATAAAAATATAGAAATAGCCAACCAACTTGACAAAGAATAGGTTAGTTCCCAGTAAAATATATTTTTTGATACCTCTTACAGATCAGAAGTGATCTCAAATGGCTCTGTTTTATGTGTACTTTTACTTAAAGTAAGTTTTAAAAATATATCCATAGCACTAACAACCAGTAATTCAATATCTATAGCTGTTGGGAGAACTAAGATATTTTGATGCTTACCGCAGCTTTAAGCTTATATCAAGAGACTGTAGTAGGTCCAACAAGAGTGTGTTACCCGTAATGCATGTCTGACACACACACTGCATACGATAAGGATTAGCAATGTAGTCTGTCAGGCAGAGTAAAATAATTTCACGTGATTTTATCCAGAGAGAAATATACTTGTACCACATTGCTTTTCAGAAGAAATGAAAAAAAAAAAAAAAATGAAAGTAAATGTTATGATATGTTCCCCATAGTCTCAAATGACTGCAAAGAAGCCTATTGGAAAACAGATCTCTGACACACAGACTGAACGTCAAGGGTAGCTGGAGCTCTTAACTTCATCTGGAGAACCAGTCTGTTTGGAAAAACACCACCACAGAAGGAAGGATCCCCTCAGCCAGGCTTGAGCGTGAACTGCTGAAATTCCCCAGCTCAGACGCCTTTCTGAAAAGGTCAGTGATCAGACAGCTGGCTGCGAACACAGACTGGCAACGTGTGAGCACAGGGGGACCAGGCGAGAGGTCGCAGACACATACACCCGTCTCTCCCCCGCGTGTAGGCTACAGACCTCTCAGCGCCGCCCTTATTTTTCTTAAACTTTTTGTCTTACTTTGTCAAACAAGAAAAAGCAAACATCTATGATTTTTTTCATTTTCTGAAACTCCTTGGGACAACGCTGTAAAGAGTAATATTTTACTTCTCCTTGACAGGTTTGCCTGTGTTCCCTGGCCCAAGCTTCACATACACACACAGATTGGCTTTGCTCTCCGTGTGCATAAGCAGCTATAATCAATATGAACATCACTGGCGTTCATTTTTTCAGTCAGGCTTGGGGTCCTCATACACTACGGTTCCTGGCTATATTCCTCACCTCTTGCATCCTCTCCAACAGCCAGGCAGACAGCCAAGATCTTTGCCATTTTAGTGCCTTAAGAAGTCTACCAGATAGTGTTCAGACTGAAAGGACGACCTTACAAGGAATTTATTTTGCCTTTTTGGTAGCAATTTTGTGAGTCGGACACAGACTAATGTATTTTCTAGGGCAGGCCGATGGAAATGGAGCTATTGAACCGGCATAGAAGACTCTGACAGCTCCGCAGCTCTAAGCAGTCTGTGAAAGGGACAGTATATTTAAAGTGGGACTGATCTTCGTCTGAAAATGAGACATAAATTCTACCCCACATACCTTCACCAAACAGGTAAAACCTTCAAAGCACCAAAGTCAGTAAACTCCAAGTTACAGCTTTCACAGCAGCTGTGTTCTTGTATGGGGAGCATTTTCCACTCCTTCAGTGGCTGTTAACTTTAACAACAACAACAAAAAAGAAAATAAACTTTAAGGGCCAGGGATATAGCTCCGTGGCATAAGCTCCTGCCTGGCAAGCCCAAGGTCCTGACTTCGATTCCCAGTACAAAAAAAAAAAAAAAACTTTAACAGTGTGAGGCAAACAGAGGGTAGCCAGGTCAGCTGCTGAATTCTCTGACTTTTTGCAACTTTAGACTAGTTGGGCCCATGTGTTTGCCATGCACATAGCACATGCTAAGTCACTCTTTGCCCTATGACCCTCACCTAAAAGGGCCAGCCTATGCAGGGGAGATAGCCCAGCGGTACAAGTGCCTGCCTGGCAAGTGCAGGGTCCTGAGTTCAATTGCCAGTTCAACTGCCAACAAAACAAAAAGTGCCAGCCTATGAGCCTGAGTTCTTTTACACAATCCAGAATCTCAGGGAATCCACATCCCCACTTGAAGCTCAGAACGCCCCAGCTGACAGATCCACTGTGCTTCAGAGCCCCGGAGTATTCTCTCTCAGTAAACATGTGGAAAAGCCGAAATGCAAATGCTGGGCATGCTGGGATATTTGAAGTGGTTAAGCTGACCTTTTATAGATCTTTGAAGTTTTATGGACTTGCCAGGTATCATCTCAGGCACTGAATTGAATTTCACTAGAAACATCAAGTATCAAAAAAGTTCATAGTTTGTAGCCTGATACATTAACTGCTTAGTTAATACAATAGGCTTTTTTAAAAATCAGTAGCAAGTTCATAGCTGATAACATGTTCAATGAGCTTTGAATTGCTTCATAAAAGTACATAATCTCAAGTGTAGGTATTGGGTTCTACTGGTCGGGATGAAGGAGGCAACGCTCTTTCCAGGGAAAACTGTTTCCTGCCTGAAGAAGTTATGCACTACCTTGGAAATTCTTGGGCCCCTCCCTTCCAAGCTCCAGTTGTATCCTGGATTGATTTCATAAGTGGAATGAAACAGCAAGGATAATAGTGCCATCTATGAGCGATCTGGTTGGCACACGTGACCTCTTTAAGTAGAGCAAAAAGGGCACCTTCCAACCAGCAAGGCAGAAAAGTCTTCCCAGCTGGACAGCTCAATTTTAAGTTATTCCTTCCTCTAAATGCTTCTTGCTGTGGTCCAAGCCCTGATGAAACCAGCCAATACTCAGGCTGGGTTTAGCTTCACTGTCTTAAAAACCAGGAACCTTTGTGCAAGGTTTGCCCACATGACCAAACACAGTAATCTTGCTTATAGGAAACCAGCTCCGCCCAAGCTACTGAAGTGTTATAATATGGCCCAAAGGCTGGGCTCTATTGTGCCTAGGGGCAAGTCAGTTCTACGGTTTACTAATTATTGTGCATCTGGAGAATATGGCTTCGCATTGCTAGGCCTCAGTCTTTTTCTAGGTAAAACTGGCACAATAATATTTCACAGTTGTGAGGTACTGTATGCCTAGCCTTCAGCACACTGGCTGGCACCATAGTCTTCCAAGCCCTACTGTCTAGTGGAGGTATCCTGCCTGAGGGGCCCACGTCTAGGTTCTACCTCGACAGACCCATGACCTTAATGATCATCTTTTTACATTTCAGGGTTTTTTTTTTTAACCTTTATCTTGTGAGAATGTTGAAATAATCAAAAGTAAAAACACTTGCCAAAATATCTCCATACTTATCTCTGAAAGTAATTACGCAGATCTGCAGTGTTAATAGAACACTAATAAATACGGCCAGACTAAAAGTTTGCTCAAAGAGAGCAGGAGAGAACCAGGGTAAAAGCTACTAACAGTTTTGCAGGAAGAAGCAGCCTGGCTAATTCCAGCAAGGGTAGTTGTTTCTTAAGACAAAAATAGCACTGCTCAAGCAATCCACTGCAATTAGTGGACCAGTTTTCAGGCTTGCTTTACTATGCCGGAGAAGGTCCTCACCATAAAACCTGATGTTGACAGTAGCCCAGGAGGGGACCATGAGTCTTTTCTGCAAGAGTCATTCATTTTATTATCATATATTCGCATATATGAGACACAAAGGTGTACATTTTAGTTAATTTCTAAAAACTAAATGACAGTATTTGTGCACATTTAAGAAAATCAATACATGTATACAACAAATAATGATTAAATTAGAGAAATTAGCATTTCCATTTCTTCCAACATTTTTTATTTCTATGTGTTGGGAACTGTTGGATACTTCTAATTACTTAGAATTTTATTGTAAATGCTATTGACTACAGTTATCCTATACAGCACAAATCAGTAACGCTTGTTACCATGACTACTCATTCATGGCTATAAAACATCCCCGGTGAAAACAATGATATGTGAAATGGTTTCACACACTCGCAGTAAGGACTGTCTGAGAAACATAGGTATGACTCCAGTTACGACGGGCACCTTCATTTAAAAGTAGGAAGGACCCTAGGGAGGGCCTTCTAAATTTCTGACTCAAAACAAAAGAGAAACAAGGGAACCTAAACTGACATCTCTTTTTGTTATGGTTTTATAGGTACTTCTAAGAAGAAATTACTTTTGTTCATTATTTCCTCCCTGATTCATTATGCAGACTTGACATGTTGACACTTATTTTGGATTCCTCCAACGTCCAATAATTATACTAAATGCCTTTCCTCTTCTTTTTCAACTCCATACTAGGAGAGGAGAGGACAGGGTAGAAATGGACTAGAAGAGGCTGCTCTCAGCACCAAGTCAAGGTGGTAGAAGCTACCTAAAAGTCATATTCAATAACAGCATGTTTACAGAACAACACACATATCTAACCCTATCTGTGTTGGCCAGACTGATGATAAAATCCCAATACTACCTTTTCTTCCCTTCCTATCCTGTGGGAGTCCAAGGGTCAGAAATCTGCAGCTGCATTACTGATAAAGTCCACCAGCTTATTAATTTAAAATGTCATTAAAAATGAATGGGGATTCCTTTCTATATGTTACCTTCAGCCCTAGATTTATATTACTGAAGTATTTCAACATTCTGCTAGCTGGCTTGGAATGTGATCTAAATCTGGAACTTGATTGATATTTTTTGTTTGCTTTCAATAAACTTTGATGAATACATACAATGTCAATCCCAGTAGTAAGCATTAGAGATGAAAAAAATAAAGATAACTATAGTTGGGGCTTCAATTACAAAGAAAGAATTTTCAAAGCAAGCAGTTCTGCTCTCAGACGCTCACAGCAGTAACTACAGAACTTACTTCACAACAATATGCCATGACAGGTGCTATAAGAAAAGTAGAAGCAAAGTTTTGTGTGAGCCCCCAAAGTAGGAAGCTGTGAACCCGCTAGGGGTCCAGACAGGACTTTACCTAAGAAGCAACCTGTGGTGAAACTCATTTTCAGGAACAGAAAAGCAAATTAGAGATCATGACCAAGTGGGAGGTATCTGGGTCCACAAGACTACTCCAACATTTAAAAAGAAATTAATACAATTTATCACACTAATGGACTAAAGAAAAATCACGTTTATCTTAAGAGATATGGAAAATGCATTTGACAAAATCTAAGTCATTACTGATGAAATCTTTCAGCAAACTGAGAATATAGAGAAACTTCTTCAATGTGGTTCTTTAAAAACCTGTAAGTCACATTAGATTTAATGCTGAGAAAGGTGGATGTTTGTCTCTATGAATAGGAACAAAGCAATGATAGCACCTCTCGCTGTTCTATCCAGCAGCATGTGGAAAGCCTTTAGCACACCAGAAGACAACAGAAGAAAATGAAAAGTATGTATGTTTGGAAGGAAGAAATAAATTCTTCTTTATTTGCAAAGGACCTGGTGGTCTATGTGGAAAAAATCCAAAGATTTGTGAAAAAAAAATCCTCACATAACTCCTGGATTACAGCAAAGCCTTAAGATACATGGTTAGTATAAAAAGTTAATGATTTTTCCTATCTACCAACAACACAAATTTCAAATTTGAAATTAAAACACAACACTATTCATGTTGACAGAAAAGCAAAAAAAATCTAAGTAAACAAACATAAAGATATTCCATCCTCATTAACAGACTCGATGAGTTGTTCTGATGTAAATTCTTCCCAAGTCGATCTACCTTTTCAAAACAATCTCAGTCAAACCCCCAGCAAGCTACTTTGTAGAAATAAATAAACTGACCCTGAAGTTTATATGGATAGGCAAAATACCTGGACTAGCAGACAAATACCGAGGAAGAACGAAGTCATGGGCCTGCACTACTCACCTCCGAGACTTAATGCAAAGTTACG